GACGACGAGAGTTTTCAAAGCCGGATCCGAAAAATATGCCGATTTATATTCAATGAACCAAGCTCATTTCCTCGTAACTCGGTTGAAATATAAATTTCAAGGTAAAACTACTGAACTACCAACAGCTGTTGTATTTTTAAGTCCGTAAGGTGGAGATGTGGAGATACCATTTTTGTTGTCTTTTTGATTTAATTTCTTACAGTATTATTGCCAAAACTTTTGCGCCACTTTAGAGGTTTTAAGGAATTTTAATTTTTGGGAGTTTATGCTGTAATTCGGTTATAAATACACGTCGAGACATGAAACTTGGTAATAATACATAAATTGGATTTACATAGACGTGGTAAGTTACCGAAATCATCAAACGACCTTTTTTTTTTTTTTTTAATGAGCGTTTTGAAATCAAATTTAAACGAAATTCGCACAAAAAATTACGATACTTCAAATTATGTATTACCGAACTGAAATTGAATATTCAAATTTATACTCATTTTGATTTTGTATTTAGTCGCCAGACGCCTCTATATGTATGTGTACAATAACTAATAAATTATTATTAGGCGTATACGGAAAACGAAAATATAATTTTATCGCCGGTGAAAAAAATAAAAATGTTGTACTACACGAATATTACAAACGAATAGGGAAATTAAAATTCTATACGGTTAGCGGGAGTACTGATGAAAAGGTATGTAGTAATCGAATTTTGAATTGCATAAATGCTATTGCACGTTTATATTATATTCTTTTACCGAAACGCTAAAGTATGGCCTTAGGTATAGGTATTATACATGCGGAGCCGTGTTAAGCCATTTGGCGTCCAGGGGCATACATTTTCAAACCTCTTAAGATCATATCTGGGGTTGATTTGCAAGGTTAATCTCCCCCGTTTTTTTTTAAATTTTTTTTAATTGTATTCATGACATGTATAAAAATTCCAAAAATTTTACCAAAGACATTTTTTCGTTACTCGTGAATTTACACATATTACGTGAGTTGTACTTACGCTTTTCTAATTGCCGAACAATAATATTTATTATTATCTACTCTAAACTATGCGTTTGAAAATAAAACAGAAAACAAGCGACATAATAGTAGTGACGTTGTTAATTTTATTTCGAGTTTTACATTGAGAAAATGACCCCCTCCCCCATTTCTCCTCTCCCCCGTTTAACATGGCCTTGATTACATACAGCTGCAGTGAAAATGTATTATTGAAAACTTAAAATTACAGGCGTACCTACTAACAGAGACCCGGTGTTATCTTTTGTGCGTCCGTTAACGTCGAACTTTATTCATTTCGTCGTGAGCCAAAATTATAATATTATAATAATACTTGTTTTGAGTTTCAAGACGATATTAAATTGTTTACGCGTTCTTTTTGTGATTTTTTAAACCTTAATTTACTGAACTTCTGCGCACGATCGAGATTTTGGAATTGCAATGCATTACACGAAAGGATGGTCGGAAACAAAATTTCCGGCCATTTACGCAAATTTCGGAACTGACCTCGTGTATTCGGCGTATAAGGTATGGACGACTTGGTGGGCTTCAGTCGATTTTCAGCATTCTATCTGGATGGACGCGTTTCCACTTAATATAGTAGCGTTGGCTAGTCTGAGGGATTAAAGGTTAGGTGTGTGAAGAAGTGGTGGTCCGGTGGAGCATGTCGTAGGATGCTAGAGTTATTCTGTTTTTGATGTCTTTGATGCCGGATCATTGGAAGAGAACCGTGTTTCTCACAAAATTAGGTTTAACAACACAGTTATCAATGTAAATATTACAATATAACATAATAATATGGTCGGTATAGTTTTGATTCAAAACTATTTTTATCCGAGTTAAAATGTCTTACAAACTTTCCCCCGCCTCTAACGAAATAAAATCAAATTCCCGCGTGTGTTCCGTGGTCGAAAATGTTAGTATCGTTTATACTTACGATTTATTTCACGCAGCTTTCAAAACGTATTAAACTTATATTGTATATAGAGGTGGATATACTTGAAAAACAACCTTTCAATAAAGTTCCATTTACGGTTAAATCTCCAGTCCATTGTAGGTAGGTAGATAATAATAATATCCATGCACAAAACTTTTTGTTCGGTATCCTAAACAAAGTTTTTACCGAACAAAAAAAAATACACCGCATTGTAAAATAATATTTGTTTACTAAATCCGAGTGAATCCCCGGGCTCCAGATTAAAAACATAGTAGTATATTTTAAAATTATTTTATTAAATGCATCCGATCGAAGTCCCGCTGACAAAACTGTCCCGAACTTGACGTGTACGACCAAAGTAAATGTATAGGTACAAAATACTGCCCTCGGTTCAACCTTGCCCATCACGATTGTATTTCCCGTCACGGTATAAGTTTCATGCTCTCGCTCGTATATGAATTACCAACCGTTCTACGTAATAGTATTAGTAATTAGGTAAAGCTAACCCTATGGCGAAAATCGATTTCTGTCCTAAATTTAAAGCCGCCAATAATACCGTATTATTTCTACCGTACTGTATACTGGCGGCGTGAGCTCGTAGTTCGATTTGTCATTAAGAGGTGGTATGGGAGGGGAGGGGAAATAGAGAATTTACAAGTTTTCAAAAAAATGGTGATTGCGGTACACAAGAGGCCCGGTTTGTTTGTTTTGTTTTGTGCACAAAACTTACCGTCACATTTCGGAAAAAACCATCATTGCGCCTTGAAAACTAATCAATTGAACTTTAATTTTATTTTCTTACTTATAAAACTATTGCATAATATATTTCTGAACGATTGTAGCGATGATAATGATTTATTAAAAAAAAAAAAAAAAATCTAGGCGTTTTCGACTAAACTCGTATTTATTTTACGTTTCATATACAAAGACATTTACATAGTACAATATTGTTGGATTGTTTGAATATTTAATCACCCTTTTAGCCTATTATAATTGGTGGATGTTTTCGGTTATATCTAGGAGATACCACAAGGAGGTGGGCTGAGTAATAGTCTCCCAAAAAATGTTTATTTGTTATCGTATCGGGCGTCATCCACTCTCGTTAAAATTATTATTTTTCCTCACTGTTGTTTTACTTGATTTCGTACGTTTGCTTTGTATTTTACAATATTGTTTCCGGAAACACGTATCGCAGAAAATGTACACCAAACTTGAATCGACGCCTAGAATAGTCATTCGAGTCTGAGACTCGATTCTTCAATGTTGATCAAAGATTAATGCGAACTCACTGACATGGCTAAGTATCAAGGGGCGTATAATTTCTGAAACCGTATGTTAAAAAAAAAATAATGATAATAATAATAATAATAAAAAGGGTTCGAAACAAAATAATATATAGTCTACAGAATATAGAGGTTTTTGCAGTCAGGTGTCCTACAAAGGGGGCAGGTGACAAGGCCACTTAGTTAATATTAATCAGAAGAAAAAATAGAGGCTTTTTTTTTCAGCTATTATTTTACGAGTACTTACATATTGTAGGTATTTTATTTTTCATTGTTTATGAATACTTTTAAAAACCGTTTTAGGCTGTGTATACTAAACTGCGGCGAAACAGCGTATGCACGAGTCTTTAACTCGATTCAAAGCGATTCATATTTTGATGACGTGATTTGTAGAAGTGTAAAAACAGCTAAAGGTGTTACGAAGCCGAATTGTTAGGCGTACTATTTTCTAAAAAAAAAAAAATGATTACAATTTATTATAAAAACGATGGGGCCCGGATTCGTTTATAGTACCGAGGTCGAAAAAAAAAATAATCACGTCTGGTGGAACCTCTGTCTGCATACGCAGCGTATTATATAGGCACACGTTCGTTGGCTTTCTGGATTTATCGTTGAAAAACTACAACGGATATTATTATTATTATCATATTATCATCGTTCCATTAGCGTATCATCTCTTTTATAGTATATCGACCGAGTGGTGTCGGACGCTCGTGTATATACTATACAGCTGCGGGGAGTCCTTTGTCCGACGCCGCCGGTTCGCCGCGTATCGGTACCAAAATCGATTGTACAGTTCTCCGGTTTGGGAATCACTGCGCACGGTACACCGTCGGTGTGTATGTGTGTGTGTGTGTGTGTGTGTGTGTGTGAGTTTGTATACAATAATAATAATAATAATAATAATATGTTGGCCTCGATTTCCCCTCGTGTTTGGCATTTTTTTTTTTTTTTTTTCCCCCCGGTCCTTCTTCTTCCATCACATGCGATATACCTATACATACCATTATACGCTAACTACATAATATTCTTATAATATATTATTTCGTTGCGGGTTCTTTCATATTCTTTCTTTCGTAATATTATTCTTTTCGTTGTTGAAAACGTTCGGCGGCTCTTCGCTGACACCGCGAAATAGAACGATGAACGAAAAACACGCGAGAGAGGAACTGCAGCATCACTATAATAGTGGGTACATAATATAATATAAGGTACGGTGTGTAGGTACCTATCTATTACGCGGCAAAGAAGCAGACAGTCGCGCGGTCCCACTACACCTATACACACGTATATATATTTATATACATACAGAGCGGTTCTTATATTTATATCACGCGAACCGTCAGTGTGCTACAGTGATCGTATCTAATCTATACGGTATGTCCATAATGATCATTGACACGTGTGAAGATTTCGAACCGATTCGGTTGTTGCGTCATCCGCGGTTCCGGGACGGGCACTGGGAAATCGTATTACGTGTTTCACAGGTTGAATCTATGGACGGTATATAAGACTCTTTTTTTCGACGACGTTTCATTGAAAATTTTATGGGTGTCTGGGGGGTTCAGAGGTCTGTCTGTCCCCGTCATGTATCCTCCACCGAGTATCCAAAAGATACGGATTTTATGACCCTTTAACCCATTCTTCCAGTCTAAATCGTCTCTTTTCGGGTCGCTATTTTAAAATCGAAAAATATCTCTTATTGACGGCGGTCGCAATACCGTAGAACAATATATAAATAGAAATGACATTCGATCTGTCGATCGGTCCTTGTTTATACCTGTGGGCTGTGATGTGAAGCATGGACTTTGTTAATAGCGGTCCATGTCCGGTTTACTGTTCGGTTTGCGGTAAATTGTTATCGAAACTGTAAAAGACTCGGGGTCATTTATTTAACACCAGAAGATACAGGGATAAACCTATGAACATTGTGATCGAATCCTGTAAATATTTTAAACACGACCGTTGTGGGAAACGATTGTATAACGCGGATACCTATCCCGACAATCGCCGAAAAAAACCCGACATTACCGTATATACATTTTGACGAAATGATCGCTCTGTATAATGTGTACCTATAGAGCGTGAAAAAAACGAGAACTACGGCGAACGGTAATAAGAGTGAAAAGGTAAAAGTCTTGGGTAACGTACGTACCGCACAACGTCACACATTATACGTACGAGTATAATAATAATAATGATATACAATATTTACTCGCTACTATAACTATTGAAACACTCTTGCACATTCTCCGTCGATAAAATATTTTGTTTTATTTTATAATCCTCCCGAAATAACGGGTAATAATTTCGTTCGGCAGAGTCTACCCGAACCGACAAAAAACCTATGCGTTTGTTAAAGCGTTCATTCGCAGTGACCGTGGCACTTGCTGCACATTCCGTGCGTTCCTCATTAAAAATGTTCACTCATCTGACGTCCGGTCAGTTGGGACAACGGACTGATAGTCGAGGAACATTGTTTTTGTTAAATTTCTTATCGTTAACCTGCATTATCAACATCGTATTATAAGAGAGCTATTATCATCCCGTTCCCTTCAGCGATTTTATTCATTACTAAACAATAAAAATGGATAATACTAAAACGTATTGTTGTCACTATTAAATCTACATAAAATTAACAACAATAAAAAAAATATTAACAAGTGCCTTGCGTTATTTATTGGCAAAAGCCTACGACTTCGCGGGCGGTTCCGGGTAGAGAATATTGTCAAATCTGTGCGAAGAAGTGTGAGTTTTCTCTTAATTTTCTTAATCATTGAAGAAAAACCGAAATATTTACATAATATATTTGTCTTTTTTTCTTTCTAGACTTGTAATTTTTACAGAATTCTTAAATTAACATTTTCTAGACGTGATAAAATTGTCGAAGTATTTCGACGCTTTTCGAGTTTGTTTATATTACTGCGGTTATTTGAAATTTTCCAATTTATTATTCATTCGGATACAAGTGTTCGAATACTTGATAAATGTTCGCGAATTTGACACTGCAATGAGTTGAAAAAAAAAAAAAAAAACTTAAAATCCGTTTTATGCGATATGTCCGGAATATAATCTTTATATTGAATATTATAAACACTACAATATTATAACATTATACGATAGGCACTGATCGTAATACGATCGATTTTTTTTTTTTTTTTGATTTTTACATTACGTTTTAACGTTTAAAATAAATAAAATACCTACTATCGACTATCGATTATTCGTACGAATAAAAACAATAAGCAATCTAGTCGCGAGTTTTTATGAGGGTGAACGCGTATAATATAGCGTACGGCGGGGCAGTGTTTATGATACACCCGAAGTACGAAAGCGAAAAGAAAAAGAAAAAAAACACTTCTTATCCTCGATAATGGTGTTTGTAGACATATGTGTAATGTATTAAACTCGTAATACACCCGTGCATTATATTAATCGGACGCATTGACGGCACATAAGGTACGCGGATTATTTCGGTTTCAGTGTCGTTGAATCCCCGTAGAGACGATCCTAACCTATATTCGGTTTCCGTGCGGTTCGCCGTCGTCCGATCGTGTAGATTTTATAATCGGTTACAAAATATTTTTATAATTTACGACCGGGACGTGAAAGTGTAAATACACCGCTTGGTTGTTTCGGAAATAATAATCACGCGTTGCATTGTCTTTACGCATTGTCTCTACACAATATTTCAATATCGTAAAATCTAATCGAGTAAACGTTTGAGTTTGATTAATAATTATTTAATTTTTTTTTTTTTTTTTTTATCGTTAATACCGAAAGAAACGTAATCACGTCAAATATACATATAGGTACAAGTTAGTTGTACACGTACAAAATCATTCGAATATTACGTAGGTCCTACCGACGATATATTTTTTCAAAACGTATTCCCACCATCAGCGTGCGCACTTAATATTTCACAGTTACCGAAAAAAAAAAAAAAAAAACGTTTAACTTCGTATATAATATTTTGTAATAACAGTAAAAATGTTAATTGAAAAAAAAACCAACAAATATAATAGGATTATTTCGTTATTATTTAATTGGAATTGTTTGTTTTGTTTTTTTTTTTTTTTTTTTTTATTTTAAAACTGCATATTTAATTTCCCATAAAGTATTATTCTTTATGGTTTTTTAGTCTGCCATCATTTAGAATATAATTGCGTATAATAAATTACACGTACAACGTACATACGTGTGAAAATCTATTCTTCACGAAAATCGCAATTCGCATTATCATCGTAAATTGTCACGAAAAACTCGCCACGAAACTCAAAAAATTTCACACGCTACGCGCGTGTTTCCGCGATATATATCAATTGATTGAATTTAAAAAAAAAAAAAAATACTCTTATTTTGTATCGAATTTCGGTTAACGCCGCCGCCGTCGGTTCACAGTAATTCGGTTCAATATACATAGCGAACGATATAGTTATCAAAGTGTAGTTAGTTAATTGTACGAATTACGTTTCGAACGCCGTTTACAATTGCAACCACGCACCTTATAATACTCTCATTTAATTGTAATCGTTCTGGAGTGCCAGCGGTTCTCAAACTTTTTTTTTTGATTCTTGTCGCCCTTATCCACGACAATCCAACAGTGCGTCGCCCTGCCATCGAGATGTACACGCGGTTTTAAATCATTTAAACTAGGGGTTTTCAGAAAAAAAAAAAAATTACGATTTTATTAAAAAATTGACAGTACTGTACGCGGATAAATAACAATGAACACATTCGAATAAATATAGGTAGTTTAAAGATAAGAACTTTGTGGTATGCCCGTTTGGTTTACAGTAATCATTTAAACATAGCAGTAGCGATACTGTTGAATGGTGAGTGGTGGGAACAAGGAATATTATGTTGTTCTGACGGCGTTGGCGATTACAGGACAGCAATAATACGATTTGAGCCGGGAAAAATTAAAAATTCTCTTAATTTTTTTTTTTTATTTTTTCCGGGAAGATTTCATGACACCTCTACGCCGGGTTCACGTCCACTCCCGTGTGACATGTCACCCGGGTTGAGAACCACTCTATTCTAGACGAACGACTGTATCGTTGTGCAGCATTACAACTCGAAAAGTATCTCGTAAATTGGTAAATATTATCGATCGACTACCGATAATACGGCCTACAAATTATTACGCACCTACGTTGGTGGGTACTTATCTTTAACGTTATCGTTATCGTTATTACTACAATACACTGATAAGTTTCGTGTTTATCTATACGGTTTATATTGGGTTAGGTATACCGAAGTAAGAGTAAAAAAAAGTTTCAGACTAAAATTATCGATTTCGGAAAGTTTTCGTTTCATCTCTCGTTGTTGTACGACGATGACGGCCGATCGTTTCGTTCTATAAAAATTTCAGTATGAGAGGATATAACGATAATATTATTAATAACAATGTTTTTGTCCGTGTAATTATTTAACATCGACGGAAACAAAAACGACGTTGTCTCGGTTGATCGCCTGGCCGATTGCTACAAATCATTGTTACGGTACGTAAACCGTTCAGTTTTCCTCCGCGCGATCGCATTCGACATTTCAATTACAGGCACCGGTGGGCATTAACTACGTAGTTAATTTTTTTTTTAAACTTTTCAGCTTAGCTGGTCACGTGTTCTCGTCGTTAACCGATTAACTTAAATTTTAATTGTGTAAACTTAACTATTTACAGTCAGTTTTCATGTACCTATCTGTATGGATATCCAGTTGAGTTCACGATCGGACGATTTTAGATGATTTAATTTTAATCGTCTGTTCTTTTTGGAAATTTAATATTAATTGTTCTCAGAACGGCCAATCGATCGTACGCGATATTCGATTTAGTTTGTGTTTATATAAATGTAAAAAATAAAATGAATATATTAAAGTTTTAACCGAGTCAGGTAAACGTTTTTTTTTTTTTTTTTGCATCGCAACTAATTTAACTATTTAAATTCATTTTCAACTCCAGGCTTTTTTTGTTACGTTCGACTTACTCGGATTGATTATTTCCGTTTAATTTTCCATCGCCTTTACAATTAGGTATCGGTTACTATAGTCTTACGGGTGCGATAATGCACCGAAGCCGAAACGGAAAATCAACAGAAAATCCCGTTCGACGACGGAGAGAACCGTATTGAATATTTGAATACATTATAAATACTGTGAAACGTCGAAACCGAACTGCCGAAAACATTACACTTGTTATACATCGCGAAATAACGAAACACGATAATCCAAATAAAATTCACCCGACTCTGAGAGGAAATGAATCCGGTACAGGTACCGGCCATTATACCGATCGTCTCGTCCGTGCTGTGCGCGCGATTAACGCGAATTCACGCAACAATTAACCCGCAACATTAGATCCGGAACGAAAATATTAAAACGGATTTGGGTCAATGTAGTGTTACGGTGATGATGTGATACGATCGAACAGTTACTTACACACGCGTCGCCTATTGCTCAGTGTTATAACATCTGTATAAATATTGATTTTTGCTGAAGGTCGCGTGTGAATAATACGGACGGACGTTATTCACCAACGGACAATATAGTGTTGCGGTATTCGATTTTCAATTTCCGACGGTCTTTGCGTCCGTAATATTATCGTCATCCGTGAATCGTCTGTGCGGCTATCGGATCACTCAATGTCAAATTGCGTGTTACTGCGTGTGCCGGACTTTCGGTTGAAATACAATATAGTTGTGAAAATAATTGTAGAACAAAGGAGGAAATAAGAAAAACAGAATGTATTATTATGATATTTGTCACGTAGTCATAAAAAAACAAAAAAAAAAAAAAAAACATGAATATTTTCGTAATCCGATTATTAATATTATAACGGTTTGTATAAACGCGACGATGGCAATAAAGCGCATTGAACGATTTAAGTGCGTATAATACAAAACCAAACGGTACGTTCCGTTTCAAAACACGTACGTGTCAGTATATATTGTTTTCGCAAAAATGTGTTTTTACGAATTGCGTTTTATTTAGAACTATTTAATACGGGTACCTACCGGCATAAATCATTCGCATAAAAAAAAAAAAAAAAAAATTAACTTTA